AAAGTAACGGTGGGAATCGCCTCCTGTGATCCTGCAGTGATAAAGATCGACCGAAATCGGAGGAGGAGAAGAGGGCGAGGAAGCTGTGGTTGTTGCCGATCGAGATGGGAAAGGGAAGAATCGACCACAGGAGCAGGTTATCGAAGCAAGCAGTCGCAAGACAGCCACCGACGCATACAAGAGAAGAGATCGTCGCGGTGGCACTCATCCGGACTCTCGACAGGGAGTGCAATGCTGGACGTTGGAGCAGCAGAGGAGGCCGGTTAGAAGCCTTCGGAGCTCCGACCGGAGTGGTGGCGCCGCTGCTTGAGGGCTGTACAAGTGTAGTGGGAGCGACGATACCATTGCACCACGCTGAGTTCAGGACTAAGTAACTTCCATACCTACGGCATGAATCAGATGGGGGTGATCAGTGGTGTTAATATACTTGTCACATGGAGGTTATACATTGTTTGATTTGCTACCTCTTACGAGGCTCGAGATTTAGCTACGTGGCATCGAGGTGGTGCTAGGAGATTGTCCACGTGGATCCATGGTTTCAAAAATGAGTTTACGTGTCGGTCACATGGATCTAACATGCCAACGATAGAAGTTAGCGTGTGGGCCATGTGAGACCGATGCATACGGGGACGTCAACGTGTCATAAAATTGGCCAATTGGATCCATTTGAATCCAATGTATTCATACTTTTAGAGTCAATTATTGAACCGAACCGGTCGCGATACTTTTGGCCGGGTCGGCTGACATGATCTAATTTTATACTCAAGATAATAACAACGTATCGCATCAAATTGGATTTGCCGATTCCTTTCACGCACACAAAGCCAACCAATTGGGTCCACTTCAATCCATTCTATTTATAATTTTGATTCAATCATCGAATCAAACCGGTCAAAATTGTTTTGGCCGGATCCGCTGGTTTGATGTAATTTCCATTGTCGACACAATAAGAATGTATCACATGCTTCAGTCCTATCAATTCTTATCACTTCGCATACATCAGCTTTTTATTTTCTTAAAGAAATAAAAATAAAATTTACATGAATTCTATTAATAATGTACTGATAAATCTACTGTATCAATACTCAAAAGAGACGGCGACCAATTTGCTATGCCCCCATTTTTTACCTCAATTATTGTCATGTCAACTTCCTGCACCGTTCCGAGTAATAAAGCTGCCCCACCCGTGACCCAACAGTAGGTGTGCAGTAATGGATCGGGACCCACCTACGACTGGAGCTGGTCTTTTTTTTTAGTCGGGACCCACCTCATGAGTCGAATAAGTCATCTTAGATCGCTGGATCCAGCTCAGGTCCAAATTGATATCTCATGTCAAGAAAATAATAATAATAGTAATAATAATAATAATAATAATTGAGTAGGAAAATCCTTTGGATTAACAACTTCAATCACTATATTACCTTATTATTATTATTATTATTATTATTATCATTTTTGTTAAATGACTTCAGGTCATTGTGAACATATGACGTGTGTTTGACCAGAAGATCCAATGTTCCCTTTGGTCAATAAAAATATATATATTTATAATAATAATAATAGTAGGGATGCCGACATCGACTGTCTGTAGTCCACATTATATAGGCTGCTCAGTTCACCACCTCCGGCGTGTCCTCGGCGGAAGACGCGTGCAGCAGAAGGGATGATGAGAACTCGAGCGGTTTTCCTGTTCCTTGGCTTCTACATCGGCCTGGTGGCCGGTGACTGGAACATCCTGGGCTTCATGGGCAGCAAGCGGGAGGAGGACACGGCGGTGGCCGCGGGCCGGAAGAACTACTGCGAGAGCTGGCGGATGAACGTGGAGCTGAACAACATCCGTGGCTTCGAGGTGGTGCCCGACGAGTGCGTCGACTACGTCGGCAGGTACGTGACCTCGACGCAGTACGAGGTCGACGTGCAGCTCGCCGCCGAGGAGGTCATCCTCTTCCTCGCCCACACCTTTCAGCTTGGCGGCGACGGCAAGGACGCGTGGGTCTTCGACGTCAACGACGTGCTCCTCTCCACCGTCCCCTACTTCAAGCAGCGCCAGTTCGGGTATGCTCGCCTGCTTCTTGTTCTTCCTCGCCAGTAAAGAACTCACACTTGTGGGTGAGCCAACATGCTTTTGGGGTGCAGAGGCATGAAAAGAAACGCAAGTGCCTTCGAGGCATGGGTGAAGGAGGCGGACGCCCCAGCCGTGGCTCACATGGTGCACCTGTTCCACCATATCAGGACCCAAGGATTGAAGGTCTTCATCCTCTCCTCCAGAGCGGACTACCTCAGAGAAGCCACCGTCGACAACCTCATCAATGTTGGCTACCATGGCTGGACCGAGCTAATCTTAAGGTCTGTGTACAGTAGTTGTCTCCTCGGCATCTCCTTTCTGACATGCTTTGCAATCTCATATATCGGTCATGAGCCCATTTTGTACAACAGTAATCCGATTCCCTTCACGAAGAACATAAGAAACATATAATTCGATAATTTCTTAGAAAATGCATAATAACTAAGAATGCTCCCTGGAGAAGTACCCTTTCCATGCAATAAAATATGGTTCTTGGGTTTCCTATATGAGTTGTTAGACTATGTTTTTGTTACTCGGGTATTGTCATCTTAAGCTAATGGCATTGCTGCAACATATGACCCTCAGGTCCCCGGAGGACAACTATAGTAGTGCAGAAACATACAAGGCAGCAGAAAGGGAGAAGTTGGTGCACGAAGGTTACCGCTTGTGGGGGATTGTGGGGAGCCAATGGAGCAGCCTCGGTGGATACACCACGGCAAGGAGGATAATTAAGCTCCCAAACCCGCTCTACTATGAATACTGATGTCTTCAGTCACTTCTTCCAGCAATAAGTGAGCCATCCTTATCCTTCATCCTCAAAGATGGAAAGGATGCCTTGTAGTTCTATGATGAACATCGAAGCCTCTTTTAAGCCTTCTAAGTCTTGATGCATTAGCCATTGGTTAATCTCTCATGAGCAAATTAATGTGTGGAGTTTATAAGAATAATTATGTCATTCTTTTACATTATATAATTCATATTGAGAGTCATATCTCAATCATAAACTATCATCTTTTCTCGAGTACCATGCTTCATTTTCTATTAAACACAAAGATATGATTTTTCCTATGAGGTGTCACTCCCTCAATCAGTGTTAAAATTCATCCGAAGTTATAGATCTCACTACTATTATTATAATTAATATATTTTTATTACTATGAAAGATATCTATATTCTTCTGTAACCATACATTATAAAAGATATCTCATATAATAACAATATGGTAAACCTATTCATTTACTTAAACATAAACCCCAAGTTTTTCTTTTTACTATTTTCACTCAAACTCTGGGCTTATTGTATTTTGAGGCAATGAAAAATTTTAATTGACTTAAGCGTCTAAGAATAATTATAAAAGATGATTCGTATAGAATAACTCTGATAAACTAAAGAATATGAATCCGATCGACTTGTTTCAAACTAACACATATTAACAATACATATCTAATGATCAAGAGAGACCCATTTATCGTATATTATTATATTTTTATTTGATATTGTTGATGCAACTATTTACTATTTCTTGATCTAATAATATTAGAGGCCATCTCAGCTAAAATATTAAAGTTTATTCCCAAAACCTTGAAATAAGCATTAAACTTTGTTTATTACTTACCTACATTAAAAATGTGCTAATCTCTTGGATTAGGTTTGTCCTAACTCAAATTTTCGTCTTTTGTGTAGCCTGAATTGCTATTATGGCCCATACAAAAGAAAACTTATTTGTCTCGTTCTTATGTGCCATAGTTATTATTGTAATTATGTCTTGTTCTTAATTGTTTTTAGCCCATTACATGAAAGCTTTTTTCTACGTGTTTGTCTCGAGTGAGAGGAAATAAGTTCGATGAACCAAACGTGCATCATAATCTATACAAAAATATCCATCACAAATTAGTGAAACCTTATATTATTAGACATCAATTGTTTCCCACCTTACTGAATGATTGACATTCATATCTATTCGAGGTTAGAAGCAACCCAATTAATGTTATAGATAGTGCATAGTGTTGCCCAACACCTTTAAGATAAATGCTTTTTGGTGGGTCATTATATTATTTTTTTTTGGAAGATAATTAAGATGATTCCAATAATATATAAAATCCTTTGGAGTGAAGGACCACATAAAGAATAGGGTAGGTGGGAAATACCAAAAGAAATCTCCAAATCAAAATTTGTGAAGAGAAAATATACTAATATCACATGATTACATATGATCAATAATACAAAACATTCCAAAAACCTAATGATCATTGGTGTTTCAATAACTCCAAACAATTAAAATGATGTTGATTTTTAAACTTCATTCTTGGTAAAAAAAAGAAATCAAAAATAAATATATGACTTTCTTTATTATTTCAACATAAGAAATAAATGAAAGAATAAAAAGAGACAACAATGATCACAATACCAAGAAAAAAAAAAGAATTGTATGATAAAAAGGAAAGAGAAAATAAAATACATCACTTATGTTTTATAACAAAATATAATTTTATAATTAGTAAGTAGAGCATAAAAACACTTAGAAACGTTATGATTATAAACACATAATTCTTCGAAACATCTAGGAAATTGTCGTGTCTTAACATAAATACAGAATAACAAAAGAGACTTTTTTTTATTAATATATATCTTCTTATATTTGTTGTAAGGATCCAAAAAATAATTACTTTAATTTTAATAATTATATAAATGATAAAATATTAATTTTTAAAATTAGAATATTATAGAAAGCTATTTTTTATTTTTTATATCCAATTTCTAAGTCGGGACTCAGCCTTAAATAAACGGCTACGATCTAATCATCAAGGATGACGGAGGCATCGTGGTCGTCGAAGCGAGCGTCGAGTCCTTGCGATTTCCGAAAGGGTAACCTTCGCACCTGTCCGAACGACAAATCTCGACCATTGGATTGGAATCAACCTCGCATTTTGTCCCTCGCCATTTGGGTTTCTCTTCTTCGGTTCCTCCCAAAGTCGGCGGCGTCACCTCTCATTCTCCTCTCCTCTTCCTCTCTGCGTCTCCTCCATTATCCCGCAGGGTGGGATGGATTCGGACGAGGGGAAGTTGTTCATCGGCGGGATTTCGTGGGAGACCTCTGAGGAGAAGCTCAGGGAACACTTCGGGAACTATGGGGAGGTCCTCGACGCCACCATCATGAGGGATAAGACCACTGGCCGCCCCAGGGGCTTCGGATTCGTCGTCTTCGCCGATCCCTCCGTCCTCGACCGCGTCCTCCAGGACAAACACAACATCGATGGCCGCAACGTGAGCTTCATCACCTTTTCTCTCTACTTGTTTTCCTTCTCGGATCCGTAGGTTTTGGATGTGTTTTGCTTGGATTTGATGTGAAAATGGGTCCATTACTTAGATCTGTGGATTATTTGGCAAATTCGTGATGGTTGTGGAGTTTCGGTTCTTAGGTTTTGATGATGTGAGAAATAGGGTTTTGACGTGTGGTCACTACTTATACTGGTTAAACTTATTAACGTTGTGTTTTTATTCTTCTGACAAAAAAATTAGCGTTTTTTCTTTGTGTTCTATGGTTTTGTCTCAGTATTTTGGACCACGAAATTGTCACGATTTGCTAGTGGTCTTTCTTTTTTTAGAAAATAATATCAGATGGTTTATTTGATCTTTCAACAATTTGGGATCTCTATCATCTTTCTGGAGTATATGAATTTTTTTTCTTGTATTCTGGTGCACTTATTTGTATGGAGTTGGATTATGGGTTACCTCAATTAGTATATTAGAGTGACATACGAAATTTGTTATAAACTGATTTTAAGGTTTGGTTCTTTCTCATGCTTAGCTGTTTGATGTACTGCTGGAACTTTCTTGGTCCATCTCTTGCGTTTGGCATATGGATTTTGTACTTCATTTATATGCTTGAAGTTGATTACTATCTTGAGAGTTTATTTTTGTTTTGCGCTTATGATTAGTTATGCTTGTATTGTGCTATCTTTGGAGACATGCGGAGCTAATTGGTTCTTGCTATTCATGCCTTTTATAAATTTGACGTGTGGTTTCTGTTCCTGATATTGTTTCGAAAATCTGGCAGTAAGAGATCTTTGTTTGGGATTAAATTCATGATGATGGACAAAATTGATAGGGTATTTTGCCTCCTATATAGTGACATTTTATTTAATGGAAGACGATAATTATCAAGAGAACTTTTAGATGCTGAGAAAGAGGTGAAGAAGATTAGAGAAATAGAACAAAAACTCGAGAAAGAAGTGACTGTTAATTTCAACAAGGTATCATATGTTTATATACTTTATCGGGGTGGTGGGGGAAAGAAGTTATTCTTGCTACCTTAGAAAATTCTTCATAAAAGATGACTACCAGGAATACGCTCTATGTTATATTAATATAATTTGATGTCATATGTTTTTTGTTTACTTTTGAAGATGCAATTTTGTAATGGTTTAGTTTGTGGGAGAAGTTACAGGACATTACAGAAACTCGGATCATTATAATCTTTTTGTCCTTTCTTTATATCTTGCATTATTTTTCTGTTGGCATTCTCTGAAAGGTTCCTTTTCTTTTGTGATGTAGAAGAGTATTGGTGAAATCTTGATACTGCATTCTTTCTTATCTGTTGATGTCCATAGTATCTTTTTTTCTGTACTGCCTGATTTGATCACCAGGTGGAAGCCAAAAGGGCTCTTTCGAGAGAAGAGCAGCAAACATCTGTCAGGTCTGGGAACCCCCCTGTCGGGAGGTCAGTGGGAGCAGGTGCTGGTTCAAGCATCAGGTCCAAAAAGATATTCGTTGGAGGGTTGCCACCCACCCTGACAGAAGATGGATTTCGTCAGTACTTTGAGGCCTACGGCACTGTAACTGATGCAGTTGTGATGTATGACCAAAATACCCATCGCCCTCGAGGCTTTGGGTTCATCTCTTTTGATTCAGAGGATACCGCTGATGAAGTTCTTCTCAAGCCCTTTCATGATATGAATGGCAAGCTTGTGGAAGTCAAGCGTGCCCTTCCAAAAGATGCAAATCCAAACACTGGTAGCGGCCGATCAATGGCCGGTGGGTCGTATCCGTCATATGGTGGTTCTAGTGGTAACTCTAGCTCATATGATGGTAGGCCAGATGCTAATAGGTACATGCAACCTCAATCAGGAGGCGGTGGATATCCAGCCTACGGCTCCTCTGGCTATGGTGCACCTGGTTATGGGTTTGGAGCAGCAAATAATGGTGTTGGTTATGCAGGTTATGGTGTTGGGGGCTATGGAAATGCCGCTGGGGGGTACGGTGGACCTCCTGGGACCTATGCAAATCCTAATGCTCCTAATGCTGGTTATGTAAGTGGTACCCCAGGTGGTCAAAGGAACCTTTGGGGTAATCAAGCTCCAGCTGGTTATGGTTCTGCAAGCTATGGTGGAAGCACAGCCTATGGTCCAGCCCCCTCATGGAATTCTTCAGCAGCCAGTGGAGGATCTGGTGCAGCGCCAACCGGCCAAAATGGGTCCTCTGGTTACATGAATCAGGGTTATGGTTATGGTGCATATGGAGGGTCAGAAGGGCCTTATGGTAACCAAGGTGGCTATGGGTCTGTTGGTGCACGCGGTAGTGGCGGTTCAGTTACCAATCCGTCGGGCAACTCAGGTGAACAAGGACCTGGATCTGCTTACATGGGTGGTGGGTATGGAGATGCTAATGCAGGTTCGGGTTATCCAAATGCATGGAGGTCTGACCCTTCACAGGGAGGGCCGTATGGAGCATCTCATGTGAATGGGCCCCCTGGTGGTCCAGTTAGTTATGGAGGTGGTTATGGTGGTCCACAGGGCAGGCAAGCCCAGCAGCAGTAACTGCAGAAGGATTTCAGTTCCAACTGGGTATTCATGAATGAGGGTTGGTTTTCTTATTTATGCAGCTACTGCCTCTCTTATGAGCTTCTTGGGCCATTGTCTGGCGCATCGCAAAGAAAATCAAACTTCATCCCGGGTTGGACTGCTTGATCTCAGTAGTTAAACTGCAATTCTCTTCTCTTCGTAGTATAAAATAAGTATTAGTTCTGAGGAGTAGTTGATACCTCATATTACTGTTTCGAAAGCTTCCAGTTCTCAAGTTTGGCGTGATTAGTTGTGTTTTCTGCTTTTCTAGAAAATTTATGCCCTAGCTCTGCCTCTAGTTACAAGCTAGAGTAGCTAATGGACCATTTCTATTTTGTGTTTTGGTAATGTAGTTTGCTAATATATCTGTGGCATTGACTTTACTTTTTTTATGAAGCAACTTGGTGGTAGTACTGGGAATATCTATTTTGGTTGTTATCACCGCCTGCTACTATGTCTGTTCTCTTCTTGTGAGTATTAAGTGTAAAGATGTGTTATTTGCCTAGCTTCCAGATATCTGGCAGATGCTGTAGAGATGTATTTCTATCAAAGTAGCATCAGTAGCTTTGACTTAAAGAGTAGGGACATACAGAGTAGTGGAGACTACTTTATGATGGAGTAAACTGTTATTTGAGTAGGGAACATGCCAATCGTAGTAGTACTTCAGATATTTGTCAATGGCATAATCGTTTCTTCCCTCTATGCCTTTTGTACAGGCGGCGCCGCATATGAAATTGCCTCCCACTCTACCAAATGAAGCTTCTTGCAGAGTAAGGTGCAAAAGCATTGAGGAAGCTGTCACATGCTTGTGGTGTTTATTGAGCCAGAACACTTAAAAACATTGATGGTTTGATGTTTCAGTTATATGGAGGTCCCTTGGCTCGCATGAGATGCTGGTGGTATGTTAGAGATGATATACATCCATCTATGAGATTTTTGGATGCATTTTCTCTATTAACGTGAGATTTAGTAAATAATTGTTATAGATGGTCACCGGTCATGAAGTAGCTGGTTTAAGTTGAATTCTGTGAAAACAAATAGGCTATCCTTGAAAAACATGATATAGGAGCATTGCTTATTCAATAGTTTTGATCTTATTCCGTTTTAATTTCATATAAATGTTAAGAATGATAGTAAGTTATGGTTCAGGTGCTATTTATTAACGAGTTATATTTTCAGATATCTGATCTAACAAGTTATTGAAGGTAGAATAGTAAAGCCAAGTTGGCATTAAGATTTTCAACATTAGATTAATGTTTCTTAAGGTGACAACATATTTTTAGGTCTATGCAATGCATGAATTGGTTACATTCTCTAGATATTGTGAAGTTAATCTGTTGTCTATCCTGTTGTGTTAGCAGACCATTAAGAATCATGAATCTTGCCTTTTGCAAACCGGCCACAGGCTAGCGCTAGTGTCAATGATGTTCAATGCACAGCAGGTCAGTCAACCTATGATCTCCATGCAATTCATATAGCTTTAGACTGCAGTTAAACGTAGTACAATCGCTGAGCACATATTAGCGTGTTTCTGGGTCTTCTTTAGGGCGACCTGTGAGATCATTTTTCCAATTTCAGAAATGTTGTACGGTCCACTACAAAGCTAGAAGTTTGGATCAATGTCACTAATCTTCAATAACTTGTTTTTTTTTTATCAGCATTTTTCAATTTCATTAGCACTATTTGTTCTTTAAACTTTTCTGATCTCTAGCAGACAGCTTAATAGGATTAGTTTTGTAGTTAGTTGACCAGGCAAATTGTTGGTGGAGGTTGGCAAGCTGCAGACCAACATCCTGTAATCAGTAGGGTCTTCACCTGATGACCCGTTCCTCTCTCCCATTAGGAATGCAACAATGATAATAATGTCATGATATCCCAACTATTTGGGATTGGTTATATGGATGTTTTATCACGAGTTTTATATAAAGTTATTCTTAGTTAAATTAGGTCTTTTAATTACAATACCTATTTGTTTCCAGAGGATATGTCCATATAATGTTAAATGATTCTTTTTATTTTATTTTATCCTTTGCAAGCAACTTATTCTGAAAAGCAAGCGCAATCAACACTATTGTTGTGTTTTCGTCACCTTGGCAGCAAATGAATTCCTCTCTCTTAAATCATTCTTCCTCTTCGGATTGTATTTATTTAATCAAATTCCTGTTCTTTTATGCAATCTAAATATCCATTGCTTCACATGATTAGTCTCCCATATGTTTTGATTGTTGCACAATCTGATCTTTACAATAATATCATTTGTTTTGCATGCTCGAATTGTGTTATGGTCTGAACCATGTCTTTTTACAAAAATATTGGTAGTTGTTGCTAATGATATTGTGAACTTTTTGGTCATTGATTAATTTTCAATATTTGCAAAGAAAATATCTTGAATTTAGATATATTAAGATGTCATAGTTTGGTATCAGAGTAAGTTGAGCTGACGACTAGTTTGATCTAATTGGAAGATGGGGCATTTTCAAGTAGAGAGGAGCTTCCCAAGCCTCACTTTTTTGTTTTTTTCGTGTATTGTAATTGACAGAGCGAGAGAAGTATTAAATTCTGATGTGACCACTGTCAGAATTCCTTTGCACCTCAAACTCGATCCTTGTAGTCTAGTCATTCTGAAGGGAAGATAACACATCAACAAAAACATTCATTCTTTTCTAAATGCAGGATTACAACAAAAATACGAAGGTAAGCATTCGATGAGGTGATCGATATATGTTTTCAAGACGAATTAATTAGATTAAATACGAGCACTCGAATTTTTTAGGGACATTGTTTTCTATTATGAAATATTCTTGACTGTTGGAGTACATTTTGGGTGCATTCCTTTTGTCGAATCTGATGATACATGTATCAATTATGTCATGGAGTTAGGACAACAAAATGGTCTTTATATTAGGATAATTAGAATCCTCGTTTTCTTCTATTTACACAGGCTGTTCTCCTTTTCTCGCAGCATAGTAAACACCTAACTGTGAGTACAAACAACTACTGCCTTTACCTCCTCTTCGGCAAATCAAAAGCCCTCTTCAAGAATCGGTTCGCGACGTCGTCGTTCCGGTGGCACAACACCCTGAGCACCGTGTTGGGATCGGATCGGTGCCACCTGCCGGTCGTCGGCGGCATCGGCACCCGCTCCATTGACCTCCCCAGCCCGCTGGCTTCGCATGCCATGATGCTGAACTCCTCGACCAGCTTCTCGGTGGGCAGGCACATCAGCGACACCACCCCGTCCGACACCGCCGCCTCCTTCTGCACCACCTCCTCCGACAGCAGCCCCTCCCCGCTGGTGCAGAATACCCGCTTCAGGTTCGCTATGTCCTCCGCGATCATGTCGTGGTCCGTCCTCGCGAAGGCTCGCCCGCTCCCCCCGGCCAACAGCACCATCAAGAAGGCCTCGAAGGAAGCCTTCATGATCTCCTTCACCGCCAGCGGCTGCGCCCGGTCCGTGAGCACCGAGACGAGAAGCGACAGATTCTGCTTCAGGATCCGGAGGGTGGGCCGTATGCGAGCTTCAGCTACGCTGCCGACGTACAGGGAGTCGTAGAAGGACTGGGATGAGTCGAGGAAGATGAGGCGGTTAGCGGCGACCTCGGCGACGTGCAGGATGGCGGCGTGGACGGTGGAGCGGGCCAGGTCGAAGTGGGTGGGGCCGGCGGCTCGCCGCCGCGATAGCATGGGAGTGCGAGGAGACGGGGAAGGGCCGGGGCGAGAGAAGAAGGAGAGGGACTTGTCGATGGAGTGCAGGACGCCGAGGAGGTAGTGCAGGGTGTTTAGGCGCACGTAGAGTCGCTGGGTGCCGCGGCTGGCGGTGGGGCGCGGGTGGTTGGTGATGTCGCCCGCACCGCCAGGCATGCGCACCGGGTGGAAGCTGCGACGGTCTATTCCCGCTTTGCATGGAGCGTGGAGGAGGCCAGGGTCGATGCCTGCTTTGCATGGGGTGGCTGCCTTCTTCCATAGTTGCAGGACCATGGAGTCCTGGTTGCACCTCGTTAGCTGCGGGAGCGCCGGGATGTAGCTCTGCTTCGAACCTGCAGTAGAGCGTTCGGTGACCGTGATCATACTCTAATTGTCCCGTCAGAACAAAGAAGCCATTACATACCACATGACGCAACAAAAGAGATGTAGTCCTGGAACAGAGAATCCAAGCCATCTGCAAGCTTCTGCACCAGTTCATCCCTTCCTGACACTTGGATCTCGAAGAACTCGTCCACCGTCACCTTGGCCAGCTTCATCAGATCCACTGCAGACTGTGCATATGGCTCCGACTTGGACTTGGGGTTCCAAGTCTGTTGCATCGCAAAATTAACATGTATTGGCGTCAGATGCACTCTACAGGGAGATTCTTGATGATAACCATGAACCACTTACCTCTGTCTCTTTAGCTCTGAATACACACTCCCTTCCCATCCTGAGCCTCTCATCAATCCAATTCTTCATGAGGTTCAAGATGACGGAATCCACCTCGAAGGAGATCATCTCCCCCATGATCCTCTTGCCGCCGTCTTCTGCGTCGGCCGAATCCTCGACGGCCATTTGAACCAGCTTCTTCTCCAGCTTCCCCGCTGTGTGCAACACCCTCACCAACTCATTCGTGAGGCCTGTGACCCTCTCCAAGTGCTGCTTCAGCACTATGCCGAAGCAATGGTGAAGCGTCACTGCCGCCACTACCGTCGGAACAGGATGCCACCTCTTCAGTATATGGCTGTAGTTCTCCTTCTCAAACATGGCCAGCTTCTCTGTTTCTTTGGCGAGATTCACAAGTGTGTCGTTGGGGTCCTCGTCTACTTCCACCACCATGCTATCGATCTTCCCGTTCTCGTTCTCAAAGATCTGAAGTCATTGGCTTGGCTGTCAGAATTCAGTCACAAAGAACACACAGGTCTAATTGAAGGATCACATTCTTCGTCACTGACCTTGGTGAAGGTACTCTTCATGGAAGTCCTTATGTAGTGTTCGACGCGGTTCACCAAGGAGAATTTGGTTGAAGCTGGAGTCCCAAACTCGGCGAACACCCCGGCACCTCCGGCGATCGAAGAGTCCTCGCTAATTATCTTTGCCGTCGAGAGCGCCAACCGGAGCACGTTCTCCATCATCCCGATCGTGACCTTGTCGAACCAGTCGTGGTACTCGAGCAGTCGCTTCTCCGCCCACCCCTGCATCGTGGCCAATGCTGCCGACAAGGCCCGCACGTACCCGGGCTCCCTGTCGGGCCTCCTGGCGTCGTTGGCCACCTCGACGAGCATCGCGAGCGCCGCAGCGATCAGGTCCGGCTCCACTTGCCCGGTCGCGATGTATTGCTCGAACAGGACCCAAGTGAAGCACACGTTGTGGATCATCCTGTTGATCCCGAGGATGCTCCATGTCTTCTTCATCAGCTCGAGCAGCTCGTCGACCTCGTCGAGCACGACGGTCTCGTCCCGGAGATCGAAGATGGAGCGGAGCAAGGCTAGGTATAGGTACTCGTTGAGGGGGAAGCCGTCGGCCCAGTGACACACTTCGACGGGAGGCCCGATATGGGTGCGCCATGCGAGGGCCATGACGCAGTTGCAGAGGGTCCGCATCGTTTCCGAGTTCTTGCTCGTGTCGATGGGCCTGAGCTCGCTGGCACTCACGATCTCGCTGAAGCGGGCTGCGGCGGTGTTCATCCGGTCCAGGGGAATCGAGGGGTGCAAAATGAGCCCTGCCTCGAGGACCTTGAGCTGCCTCCGCTGCCATACGTGATACTCCTGAGGGTCGTTGAATTCGGACGGTTTCAAGTGGCGGAGGAGTTCGAGAGGGAGGATGATTGCTTCTGCCCTTTTACCCGCCTGATCAAGAAGAGTCATTCGATGAATTGATTGCAGGTTCATCAACATTGATTTCATATGCATCATGTTGGCGATGCACAAGCAGCGGATGCATATGGATGCAAGGAATCATGAGGGATTCGGGGGGGACGACGAACCAACCTGGCCGACGAGGGTGCGCACGAGGGTCTTCCTGAGGCGGGTTTCCCTCAGCTCCGTGACGCCCATCTGCTGCCGCATGATCTCGGCCGAAGTCATCGGCCGCTGCTTCACCTTCCCCGCCGAGGAACCAGCGCCACCCATCGCTCCCCCGCCCCCGCCCAGGCTGGACATGGCCGGCGACATCGCAGGCGATCCTAAATGCGTCATCGGGCGCATGTGGGCGGCCCTCCTCGTCCTCAGTCCCAGGGCTCTCTTTATCCGGCTGCTGACAGCCATGTTCGCCCCGCCTCCGGACGACGGCCTCCCGGCAGCGTCACCAGCCGCCGCGCCGGTGGCGGTGGTCTCAGAAGGATTGTGGTAGGCCGGGGAGCGGCCGCCGAAGCCGGGAGAGGAGCGGCAGGCGGTGAAGAAGATCTCGTAGGCGGTGGCGCGGAGCTCGTCGCGGCCGAGTTCGTCGAGGCGGCCGAAGGGCCACTCCAACTCCGCGCCGTCCTCCTCGGCGTCGTCGACGAACGAGCCCGCGGAGAGGCAGCGGCGGCGGCGGCCCATTCGGCGGCGGCGGCCTCGGGTCCCGTTTGCTTGTCCTTCTCTTGGGAATCGGGCGTTGGTGGTGGTGAGGAGGAGGAGGAGGAGGAGGAGGAGGCGCAGGAGCTAGAACGAGGAAAAAGGTCGGTAATATTTCTCTCTTTTTGCTTCGTTCTGTTTGAGCTTCCCTTCTTCGTTTCGTTAAGATCCCGTGGACTCCCAAAACAGGGCAACCGCGTGGCATCTATTTGGTGGCGAAAGCGGCAGGCCCACTTGTTCCAACGCACACTTCCGTTAGTCTGTCTGTCAAAACGGCGACAGAAACAGTCCGGACTTGGGTCGAGTGATTTCAGGGATCCGAAATCACTCCACGGCCGTTTAAAGTCCGACCCGAATATAAATTGGTCTTCGGATTCGCCGTTCATACCAGACCCGATTTATAATTTTTTGTGGATTTCAAAT